AGGACGCAGCACGCCATTGTCGCTGTTGGAGGAAGCGCTCTTCTGGGCATCGGCGGTACCGGTGGTGACGTGGGGGAGGTGCACTTCAGGGCCCCACGAGTTGAAGGAAAATAGAAGAAGGAGACTGGTGGCGAGGGCGAGGGCGAAGAGGACGTGCCGCTTGGTGAGCCACTGGGGCAGGTTCTTCAGGACCGAGGTCGTCGTGGTGCCATCGGACTTGTACATGGCGGGCATCAAATGTCGGGGATTCTCTGGACGGGCGGGGGGTGGGGAGAAAGAGAGTGTGGTCGAGGTGCCCGGCGATGGAGAGGGTGCTCCAACAACGTGTCGCGATGTCGATGTCGATAACGATGTCGCGGGGAAGAAGGTTGAAAGAAGGCAAGTCGACAGTTGAAAGTGAATCCAGCCACTGTTCCCTTTCGTCCTGTCCTGCGGCTTGAACCAGGCTTGGTGTCTCGGGGCAAGTGGGTTTGAGATGATGCCAGGGCAGGGGGCGGCAGGTCAGTCAAATAAAGCCTGGCCGTCCAGTCTTGAGAATTGATGGCGATGGGGGGTGTCGAGGTACTTGGCCACGGGCGGGTCTAGAGCCTGTCTAGGGCGCTTTACCGAGGCAGGGTCTCCGGGTGTAAAGTATTGAGCTGAGAGCGAAAAACCGATGGTTGCGGACAGGGTGAAATGAAGAGCAGCAGGGGAGAGAATTCTTTTTACCTAACGAGAATCCCACTGAGGAAATGTCGTGCTCATGGTGTGCACACAGCCCCCCCGAAACGGAAACCTGAGTCGACGATGGCAGGAGCATGACAGGATTCACACGGGGCTGCTCTCAGGGGCAATGGGCTGGAAGAGCGGGATTGGCATGAAGGGGCAAGCATGGGGGGGCCAAATGTCATTCTTCATTTGACGACGCGCTCCAGACATTTCTGGGGGGGCGTGAATGCGTGGGCTTGCATTCCTTCCCCTTGGCCTTGGGAGGGGTGTCGAGGCTGGCTGTTTGAGGCTCACGCTCCCTCCGATTTTTCTCTTCTGACGCACACACACGCTCTCTCTCTCTGGCACACGCGCTCTTGCTTGGCTTAGAAAAATATGTTTGGTATCTAGTCTGCCAAGTGGGCCGAGGGGAAGGTCGATCAGAGGGGCAGGCTGCTCGCTCCCGGTTTATTGCTGGTCATTTTTCTGTCACATTGCATCTGGGTCGAGCGTGACATGCTGGCTAGTCGAAGCTTGTTGGCATGATGACAGTTGGTGCTTGTTTGGGTCGGTCGGGGGCCGTAACCAAACGAATTGATCTGGGGTATTCTTGGCCCGAACGATTGAGAACGTAGCATGTAGCACACATGTCGTGCAAGGGATGGATGGGTGGAGAGACGCTGACGCCAGCGCTGATGACAGGCCTATGCACAGCGGCTTGGGTTCCAGAATCAGTCTCCTCGCTTGGGGGCAAGGGGGATGGGGCTGCTGCTGACTGGAACTCGAGGCTTGTCAAGGCTTGGTAGGTACCTGACTGTCTTGGTACCTTAGGTGCCTAGGTACCCGGGGTGATTGCCTAGGGTACATGCTCTTGTGTACCTGAGGCACCTGTCACCTACGTCCCTACCCTCGTACTAAGGCATGGGAAGGTACGACTCTACGCGATCGCCCCCGTCGATCGTGGTAGCCGCCATGTTCATGTGGGGAGCGCCTGCGGCCCCCAGGCCAGGCTGAGGATTGCTTCCCATCGTACGTGTTTGACGTCTCGTCTCTTCCTCCCATTCTCCCATTCTCCTTACTTAGGTACTGTTGGCATCCTGATCCCATTTTTGATTTCCATGGCCACAATCCCTTTCCTCCGCCTGCTCGAAGCCGCAGCTGGCGAATGGCCAATGGTCCATCGACCGCCACAGACCACAACTCAATCTCCTCTTGGGGCAGATTCCCACGTTGCCGGACGATTCAGAACTGCTAGTCGCAAAGTAGACTGTGGAGAAGCAAGGCAAAGACAGTCAGTCGCAAAATTGCTATTCAAAACACATTGATGATTGACACAGGCAACCATCAGAAGCGAACCAGCGGGCCGCCGAACTACCACACACACATTGCTTACTTGCTACGTCCCATGACAAGGGTGGATTGGGAAACGCCCAGACACAGGCCAAGCTTCGACATTGGTACAGGCCAAGCTTTGTCCCGAGCGTCAACCCACAACCACGATCACCACATCGCCCAGACCGGCGTACTATGTACACATACGCACGCACGCACTCCTTCCTCTCTCATTCTGGCCCCTTCCCACCAGCAAGGCGGCATGGGAAATAGGACGAAATATGAAGACTCGTTCCAGCCGTGCCACCCTTACGCCCGCCAGCGACCCTTGGCTCTCCTTCTTCATCATCCCTCTTCCGAACAATTCATTCCCCCGTCAAGGCCTTGGCCCCCTCAATACAGTACCCTGCCCATCCCGCCGCCGCCCCCCCCCCCTGAAGAAACTTTGCTCGCTTGGCTTTTTAGTGGCAGTCTAATGGCGATTGACACTGCGACGAAGGCCTTGACTCTTCCGCGCTCTCACACACACTCTCTCTCTCCTCCCTCTCCCTCTCTCCTTTCCCTCCCTGGTCGACCCGCCCTAACGTGACCATACTTGCTGTGTCTCCCATTACCTCATACTTTTCCTGGTCCCGTCATCCCAACTCTTTCTCTCTCGACCTCGCAACGACGCCCCTTCTCTCCGTTTGAGAGCGCGTTCGTATAACCCGGCTGAGCCATGCCGTACTGCTCCTAACCTTAACCTTCTTCCGACCTCTTCCCCTTCCATCCCCCCCTTCCCCACGCCCCCCATCATGGCATACTCTCCGCTGCCCGTCACGGAGGACGCGGCTCCCCCGCCGGCGCCGGCTCCGGCTGGGTCAACGCTACAGACTGCCATCTACATGGTGTATGTTGCTTCACTTGCCACTATCAAGTGCAATCTTTCAGTGCTAATGACGAAGACAGCCTGTGGATCATTTCTTCCAACTTTACCATCTTGTTTAACAAGTATCTCATTGATACAATCGGTTTTGGTATGTACAAGCCCTCATCTGCCCCCTCAAGACGCGCTCGTGAGCTGACAAGACGCCAGGTTATCGTACGTTGTTTTCACGACTCACACGCTCACCCACTTGCACCCATGAACGCACATCTAACAGACTCTTTCTCTCTCGCTAGCTATCCTCTTGACCTGCTGGCACCTCGTCTTCGCTGCTGTCGTCACCCAGATTCTCGCCCGCACGACGACCTTGCTCGACAGTCGCCATCAGCTGCCGATCAGCGGCCGCTTTTTCATCCGTACCATCCTACCCATCGGCATCGTGTCATCAGGCTCTCTCGTCTGCTCCAATGTCGTCTACCTCTATCTCTCCGTCGCCTTCATCCAGATGCTCAAGGCCGCATCCCCCGTCGCCGTCCTCTTCACCTCCTGGGCCATGGGCGTTGCCGACCCCACCATGACCGCCATCGTCAACGTTCTCTGCATTGTCGCCGGCGTCGGCCTCGCCAGCGCCGGTGAGGTCGACATGTCCATGATCGGCACCGTCATCCAGCTCGCCGGCATCATGTTCGAGGCTTTGCGCGTTGTCCTCATTCAGAAGATGCTCAGCAACGAGGGCCTCAAAATGGATGCCCTCGTGGGTCTGTACTACTACGCACCTGTTTGCGCAGTCATGAACCTCGTCGTCGGAGCCGCGCTCGAGATGCCACACTTCAAGTACGAGGATCTCGAGCGAGCAGGGTTTATGATGCTCATACTCAATGCGGCTGTTGCTTTGCTGCTCAACTTCACCAGCATGGTCTTGGTCAGTCTCATGCCACGCCCCCGCCCCCGCACATTCTGCTGCCCAAGCTGCAACAAGACGCTAACAGGTGCAGATTGGCAAAACTTCTGGCCTCGTGACTACTCTCACGGGTATTTTCAAGAATATTTTGCTCATTGGCTGCTCCGTCCTCTTCTGGCACACCAAGATCTCTACCATCCAAGTTGTCGGCTACAGCGTCAGTCTGGCGGGCTTGATTCACTACTCTTTTGGCACGGAGAAGATTCTCGGAGCCCTCAAGGGAGCCTTGGCTATGGTCACTGGCGCTGTCGGGGCAGCATCGGTCTCGGGCGAAAAGTTCCGCCCGTCGCGGCGCATGCGCATCGGACTGGTCATCGCATTCATCACGCTATTGAGCATATGCATCTTCTTGGCGTACATGCGGCACATTGAGGCGTCGCCTTTGGAATGGGTTTGGTCAACAACTGGAGGGACGGTATAGAGAATGATTTTAATAACGCGAGTGTGTGATGGCACCGGCTTATCGCCAGACATTTTTTTGGGCGTTTCTATCTTTGGCCTTGGTATAGAAATTTCATATCCGAGCGTGGCACTGGAATGCGAAGGTCGTCGAGGTCGCGAAGCACGCCAAAGTAAGATTTCAACTGTCGGCACGGGTAGCTCCCACAAGGGTGATGTAACGCTCCATCGCGTGTTCGCTTTACGCTTCGAGATCGTGAGTAGCACCACCCAAGCTGCCTACTTGAAACATTCAGGTCAATAGTGTCCATGCCAGACGCGATCGAGGCCTCGGCTGTGAGTCTATCTGGCCTTGCTAACGCGACTGGCAGCTGGTTGGTGTGGGGTTGGTCCCGCGGAGTTGTCCCACCTCAGGCCTCCCTGTCCCTGTCAGGGCACCACTACCCCTGCACAACGCCCTCAACTTTCACCAACCCCTGAGCCCCTGAGCAGCACAGCATACTTGGAACACACAAATCGTTCGCATGCTTCTGCTAGCCAGTGACGGTCGTCGACTGACCCTGGGAGGGGGTAAACTCCGAGGATTGATCAACGACCTGGCAGCAAATGCAGCGGCCAACCAACCCGGGGTTCCTCGACTAAAGGGTAGCCGGCCGGAAAGGAAAAAGGCAACGCCTTAGCGGCTGAACCACTGAGGCAGTGGCTGGCTGACTGGCCAGCGGCGAGGCTTGGCCACGCGTAAATGGGCGCTCGAAGGAAGGACCGTATCTGGCCCTGTCAGCGTCTGATTCTCCGCATCGGCATTCCCGCCATCTATTAGTTTGGCTTGGCCTCGCTGTGCGCCAGGCTCTCTAAGATGCACGTGTAGCTCTTCCCTTGCGTCAAGTTCGATACTTTCCCGCCTCGCGAAAGGGGTAGCCTAGCACGTGTTACATGCCTCAATCTGCACTCGGCTAGCGATTATCTGTCTCCTGGCAAGTCGCTGGGCAAACGAGCAGACGTCTGGACTCGCCCCAAACATACCAACAATGACGGAGCAAGGAGACCGCCACGTTGTCTAGGCCCTGCGAAGCATTTGCGGCTTGTAGGATCCTCACGGTGACCTTGGCATCATCTGGTTCCAAGAGCTTTCGCACAGAGGCTGGGTCAGCCATGAGCCGTCCCGTGCTCCCAAGGCAGGTAGAGATGAAGTATTCACTCCAGATGCCTGCCATGCACTAGTTGGTCGTTCGCTTTGTCATTGTCTGGGCCATAGTGTTACGGGTTATACCCGTGGTATAGTATAGGCTGTGCCTATACCTCTATGAATGCAGCCCAGTTGGCTTAACGACGTTGATTCAACACGTATCCTTTGAGCTCAATTGGATAGCTGCCGTATGGCACTTACGACCGTGTGAGGGCTGTCACTAAGCCCCTTTGGGGCCGACCGTAACACATAGCAGAGATTGCCGGCAGTTTGCTGTCTCGATGTTCAAGTCCTTACCATCAAAGTCTTTCACGGGACTGTACCGGTCCCGGATGAACGATTGTTGCTTTACGGGCTACCACACATGGAGTCTCTCATCCCGTGTAGCTACCGCGATATGCCATGCTTCGCTTGCTACAATGTTCTCGCCTCGGCGAGTTCTATAGCACTGACACAGAAGCAGGCCGGCATCGGAGAGGATCATGCATCGTGAGAGCATGCGTTCATGAGCCATCCAGCCGCGTGTGAAGAGCTGACGCATCTTTTAAGCCTCAAGGTCGAGCAGTGGTGGCCTGACAGAGATGTCACATGGTATCCTGGGCTGTTGCTGCTCGATCCTGTTTTGGAACACCTGGTGATCAGTCCCGCTTCTTGTTTGGTGGGAGAAATAGACACTGTCGAACCTTTATAGGCTGCGGCCGCGATGGTGAGCAAGGACGCAGAGTAGATGAGATCCATCTTGCGCTCTTGAGTGATTCAGTTCACAATTTTGCAAATCAGTCTTGCAAACAAGTCTTACGAGACGCCGGGCCGTTGTTCAGGTGCCTTGCTCTTCAACCATGACGGTGTCTGGTCTTCATGTGTAGGATTGGCGACTTGTGACTCGTCAAGATAGACCCCGAGGATGGTGCAGATCTTGCCGCATCGAATCTTGATCCCGTAATGCCATACAGGGTGCCTTCGTCCTCTTCTTGATCGCTTCAGTAAATGTAACGAAGTATGACGGGCTGTTCGCCTCTCGCTGTCTGACTCATATGGTGGATATGATAGTCTCGAGAAAGTTTGGAGACTGCCATATTAATCTGCTGGAGGCCTGTTGAAGAGGCCAACTGTCGCTTAGTATGGTTATCATGCTTCCCAGAGACCTTGCTGACAACGATATCTCATGTTCTGGTACCTTCAACACACAAGATTGAAGATCGCAGGCTACAATGCACATTGATCGATGTTTCGAAAGACCTCATGAATGGCCATGCCTCTGCTCAGAAGTATGCTTTAGAAATACCAATATGAAAACCGACAAGTCAAGGTGCCTTAATCCCGAAATTTTCTCATACAGTTGCGCTGCGACCAGTCTCAAGTCGCTCTGTTACAACTCTTCTGACGAAACTACGTCAATGTTTGTCGGGGAGCACTCGACAGAGCAACACAGTTGCCGAGTCCAACATTCTTTATATACGGCAGCACAGAGGATATAGAATCCATGACTGAAAACAAGGAGAACAAGAAGTCACTTGAAAGCGATCAACTGAAGTGGGAGCCAAGCATTTTGTCTGGGCTGGAGGGGCCGATACCCGTGGGGGTTAGGGTTGATCGACATTTCAGCAACGTGTTGTGCTGGTCGAATCGCCACCTGCTGCCTGGATCATCAACGCATTCAACGTCAGCGGTGCAACAATAAATCCCAATAATTTTCCAAATGAAAATGTCACAGGTATACATTTCTACACAAAAACAGACCGCGAGTATATAGGCTGATCGTCACAGTTTGTCAAAACAAAAGCGCTCTACCTCGACAACGATGGCGGCGTCGTCACAGCCTTCATCGTGTCCTGCACCCCCTTCACGGCAGCCAGCGAGGCGCACAAACCCCTGTTCAAGACGGCCACTGGAAACGACTTTCTCGTCGCGACAGACCAGACGCTCTTTTACGCGCAAGGAGGCGGCCAGCCAGCGGACACTGGCACCATGACGTCGATGATCACGGGAGACGCGGCCAAGTTCCACGTCACAGGCGTGCGGAAAACCACCGAGGGAACCATCCTCCACCTGGGCTCTTTCGAGGACAGCCCCTTTGAGAAGGGCGACCTCGTCACTCAGCATATCGACATGGACAAGCGTCGTCTGCATTCCCAGATTCACGACGCCGGTCATATCATCAGCTCGGCCGTTCGCAAGCTCGCAGACGCCATCCCTGACGTCACCGAGCTCAAGGCGCAGCACTACCCCGACTCGGCGTTTGTCGAGTTCAAAGGCTTCATCGACGGCAAGCACAAAGCTGACATTGAGGCGGCTGCCAACGCCTTGATCGACGAAAACCTGCCGATCAAAGTGTGTTACTGGACGCAGGAGGAGCTGGTACGGGCATGCTGGTCGGTGCCGGAGACTCTCGTCTTGCCTGAGGGGGAGCTCGCCCGCGCCGTCGACATTGAGGGCGCGGGAGCCTATGCCTGTGGAGGCACGCACATGGCGACGACGGGTGAGGTGGGCCATGTCAGGATTCGCAACATCAAGCGCCAAAAGGGCATCTCCAAGATATCATACGAGCTGGCATAGCATCATTTCGTCCATCCGTTCACCAGGAAACAGACACATTGCATAAATCATCGCTTCATTTCATCTCATTGACCCTCGCCCTCTCAAAGACTCGAGTACGCGTTGAGGGCCAGCTGGCCTCCCAGATGGGCATACAAAACGTTGCTGCCCTCGGCGAGCTCACCCTTGCGAATAATGTCCATCATACCGGCCAAGCTCTTGCCCTCGTACACGGGATCCGTAATGAAGCCCTCAGTGCTGGCGCCAAACTTCATGGCGTCAATGGTCGTCTGGTCGGGGATGCCGTAGACGCCAGCATGATACCTGTCATCCAGGATAATGTCGGCCTCTGTGATGTCGCCCTCCGCGAGACCAATCTTGACGCCCGTCGCCTTGGCGATGCGCAGCACCTGGTCAAAGGTCTGCTGCACCTTGGCCGAGGCATCAATGCCAATGACCTTGCGCTCGGGCGACCCGTTCTTCTGCGCGAGCTTGAAGCCGGCCACCATGCCGGCCATGGTCGACCCCGTGACGGCGCAGACAATGACCGTGTCGAAGAAGACGCCGAGCTCCTTCTCCTGCGCCTCGACCTCGTAGGCCCAGCGCGCGAACCCGAGGCCGCCGAGCGGGTGGTCCGACGCGCCGGCGGGGATGTAGTACGGCCTGCGCCCGGCGTCGGCGAGCTCCGCCTTGAGCCGCGCCAGCGTGTCCTTGTGCTCAATGCCAAACGTCGACGGGTCGAGGCGCACGTCGGCGCCCATGAGGCGCGACAGCTGCAGGTTGCCGACCTTTTCGTAGCCCGGGTCCTCCCAGTCGACCCAGTGCTCCTGCACGAGCGCCGCCCGGAGGCCGAGCTTGGTCGCGACGGCCGTCACCTGCCGCGTGTGGTTCGACTGCACGCCGCCAATGCTGACGAGCGTGTCGCAGCCTTGCGCGAGCGCCTCGGAGGCGAGATATCTGCTTTCCGCGTCAGGATGCGCAGCAGGACGACCGGGAACGGACGCTCTCTGAGTGTGGGGAGGGGGGGGGGGGGGGGGGACGCCTTACTCGAGCTTGCGGGTCTTGTTGCCGCCGTATGCGAGGCCCGAATTGCAGTCCTCGCGTTTGGCGTAGACGTTGACCTTGCCGCCGAGGGCCTGGGAGATGCGGGGGAGGGGCTGGATCGGCGAGTGCCCGAAGAGAAAGCTCTCCCTCGGGATGCTGGCAAAGGGCTCGGGCAGGACGACAGACATGATGTGGTGGTGGTGTGGATGGACTCGTGGAAGACCGTCGGTGGGTTCTACACTCTGACACCTTTGTGATCCTCTAATGAGGGCGTATCATCATCTATAAGTCGACTCTCGAGCCTTAGCCTCCGAGGAGGCTATGTGCGATCTCGGAGTGGAAGACCGACGTCAGCCGCTGAGGGGGTCATCCATGCCTATCACTGGCATGACTCGACGATGCATCTCTCCCCCGGGTCCACCAAAAGTACCCAGAAGGCGTGTGTAGATAACTCGTGCGCCCCCAAAGGTTCTTGGCTTTGCCGCGACGGCCTCTCATGGGGTGACGCTGTAACACCTGGGTGGGCCTCGCTGACGGGGTTGGGTTCCACGACTTGGAGACGGCGGGGGCGGGGTCAAGAGATGCGACGGGTGAAGAGGAAGATGGTAGCAGGGTAGAGTAGGTGTGAGAGGCATGGTCAAAGTCGTAAGAGAAAAGATGGTCAGCTCAATCGCGCGTGTGTTCAACCTATCGCCTCAGTCGAGAGTCTCACGGAGGGCTACGGAAAATACATCACGTCGCAGCTGTTTGTATGATAAAAGGCTGTGACGTGTAGCAGTCAGAGTCCTGCGGAGTTGATCAGTGTTCCGGATCCCCACCTTTGGGCTCCAGATCAGATACCGACGCCAGCCATGCCATGCGGAGAAGACACAAGGTCTGACAGTCTGTAATCAGCAATCTGGCCTATGTCGGGCGGCCCCGATTGCCATTTGAGGAGCGAGGAACGGCATCCGCACAGAGTCCGATCCGGCTGTCGGATGTCGGCCTCGTAGACTTCACTGAGGAGAGCGGCAACTGTAAGACAAATCTCTTCATTCTGGGTGTATTGGGGGCGGGCTGCTTTTGGTACTGCCCTCGACTAAAATCAAACGCTTCGTTTACATGCATCACGCCTCTTTTTCACTGCCATCCATCTATTCGGCATCGAGAGGCGCACGCGGCGCCGTGTTGTTGACCTGGATACCGCCTCGCTTCTTCTCGTTGCTGTCATGGAACGGCAGCGCCCATCCGCCCTCGTTCTCCGGTGTTGACAGCCAGAGTCGCAAAAGGTGGCGGCGGGGGTGAGGAGGAGGGTGGTCTACGACTCGTCAGTCTTTATTCTTCCGCAAGCTGTCTGGCACAATTGACTCACCGACGTAGGCCGTCCTGGCGTGCAGAATGTGCGTGTTGGTCAGGAACTGAATATCGCCGACCTCAAGGATCATGTGCAAGGCCAGCGCCTGGCAGGTTTCCTCGAGAATCTTGAGGGCCCTCTCCTGCTCAGGGCTCAGGGCGGGAATGAGGCCCTGGTCGGAGAAGCGTTTCAGAGATCGCACGTAGTAGGGATCCCACTTGGAGTACAGCCTTCCCTTGCCGCCATTCTCGAGGTAGAACACGGGCTGTCTCGTCCAGCCGTCCTGACCTTCGGACACCTCGCCCTTGCGGTCGAAGTACCAGATGGGCTTGGTCAGGATCTCGGCCACATCAGGGTGCTCCTGCTGCAGCTTGTTCCAGACGGCGTGGACGCTGACGAGATCGCTCTCGCCACCCTCCTGGGCGCGGTGGACGCACAGCAGACCGACGAGGTCGCCATCGTCGGCGTGGAAGAACTGGCGAGCAGTCGTTCGGTAGATGCGAACCTTGTCAATCTGTGTGGCGTCATCACCGACGTCCTTGACATGGCCCAGGACATGTCCACGGCCGTTCTGCGAAACAAAGTAGCCGAGGTAGGTGCCGAGGCCCATGTACGCGACGGCATTCTTGTGAGGGCCCCATTGCTGGGCAGGGAAGTTCTTGAACAGAATGAAGCCCTTGCCGTCGATGAGGTCGCTGCGCAGATTACCGAGAATCTTGCTGAGGTTGGGCAGCGGGAAGTTTTCCTTGACTAGGTCAGACAAGAGTGTACATCCGGCATGGCAAGATGACATACCTTGGTGATGCCGGTCAGCGCCGTGCCGCTCGCAATGAAGGCGTCGGCAGTGCGGCTGAGCTCTTCCACCTCCTCAGGGGTAAGGGGGTGAGTCCATCGCTCAGGGTTGTTGACGAACTCGTCCTTGTGCCAGACTGTTGGGCCGGTGATCTCCTTGGGAAAATCCTCATAGGGGCGCAGCTTCTCGTAGAGAGGGTTGTGCTGGCCCGACGTGCGGATACCGTCGGGGAAGATCTCCCGCGGCGCTTCGGCGTTGTTGCCCTTCCACTTGGCCGCAGCCGGGGACGGGAGGGTCGTGGCTTCGTTGACGAGGACACCGGGAGCCATGTTGACGTTCTGCAAAGTAAATCACACGTATGTACAGTTGTGCTGCAAATATGCCACTTGCTTCTTCTCACGCTTGAGAGACAATCGTGTGCGACCCCCCGCGGGCGAAGTGTCCTCTACTTGAAGGATTTCGGCATTTGAAATGCCCCTCACGGAGACAGTACATCGTGACGTAGAGACGCGCGACTGGTGATGAGGACAGCCGTGTACGGCATGGCGTGCTGCAGTGCGATAGGTAAAGATTCGCGAGCTCGCGGGCACAGATGGCGTGCTCAGGGGTCCTATATCGCGAGAGTGGTCTCGGATTGCGTGACCGTCAACGGTGCGGAGTCGGGCGATCACTCCCACCGGTGCTGTCGCCCCGGAAGAAAGGCAGAATCAAGTGCCGTGATCGCAGCGTGGGACTCGGCAGTGATGCTCGGTCGCCGTCCACCGTTGGCTGCTGGACGATGTTGATGGAGCGCGACGACATGAATCTGGCATCGACCCAGTCTGTCGGTTCGCTTGCGTGCTGAGAGGACCCAGCTCTAAGAGAGGTCCGCACTAGGGACTGAAGGCTGCCTCGTGCCTTGATCTCCCGTCACTCAAAGAGGAAATGGTGGTTCGAGAATCAACGCAACGTCAGTCGACATTCGTCCGAGTCAATGTCTGCCATCAAGGGACGCAACGAGCAGTAGCTCTTTCGAGTCGCGCCACGCAGTCTTGGGGTCAAATCCCGATGTGTCTGGCGTGGAGAATGCGACCCCACGATCTTGCGGCTTGCAGATGTACGTATGGAACGAGATCACGTGCATATTCCCCTCCAAGCCTCCAAGCCTCCAAGCTGGGGGAA